GACGCTTAACCGACTGCGCCACCCAGGCGCCCCAGGAATTTATTATTTCTTAGGAAATAATCAAAAGAATAAAGGCAGCATAATTTTTGTGAAGCATCCTTTGATCCCTGAAAAGAAACATTAAAATATCCTACAAAGTCAACCTAGGTAAATGGAGATGTGCCACACTCCTGTTTGAGAAGACTGAATGTGGTAAATATGCCGATTCACTCCAAATTAATCTATACACTAATGCAAAATCAAACCCCAGTGGGATTTGTGGAGTAAGAGAATCTATAGTTTATTCAGCAGAGTAGATACATGAACATAGTTTTACTTTTTAATTTTTTTTAATGTTTATTTTTGAGAGAGAAAGAGCATGAGCAGGAGAGGGGCAGAGAGAGAGAGAGAGATGGAGACAAAGAATCTGAAGCAGGCTCCAGGCTCCAAGCTATCAGCACAGAGCCCGACGTGGGGCTCAAACCCACGAACTGCAAGATCATGACCTGGGCCGAAGTCGGATGATCACCCAGCTGAGCCACCCAGGTACCCCGGTACATGAATAGTTTTTAAAAAAACGATAGAGGAGACTTGCTATACAACTATTAAAACATCCATTCAGCCACATAAATGGACGAATTAATCAATTCAATAAAATATTTTTGAAAAAGCTAAAGAACCCAAATGGGAGTAAGTCAGAGACATGTTAAAGAGATATAATCCCAGGTTGTTTAAAAAGCACACAGAAAAATCAAAGACCAAACACCTATCTGTTAAATGTGGTTTTCTGTAAGACTGTGATTATAATTAGTAAGGCTTCCACTTCTTGTTTTATAAACATATATTGTTCGAATGTTGCAAAGAACATATATTAAAGAGAAAATGAACAAGAAGAGAAAAACAAAAAAGTTCTAGGCCGAGAGGAAGAAGATCTAATTTACCAGGAACAGGAGATCTTTCTGATGTAGGCTCTTTGCCATCATCTATTATCAGAACATCAGAATCTTCAACTGCTTCTGTTTCTATTTTACATGTTGTACTCGAAGCAGTTTGTTTCTTCCTGGATGTTTTAGAAAGAAGGCCTTTACAAGAGTCTAGCTTTATCCCAGTGGAGTTGTTTCTTTTGTCAAGTTCTTCTGGTTTCCCATTTATCTTTTTTGGGCTTTGTGAATACTCGTTTGGCTTCTTTCTTTTTGACTTCTGAATTTCCGTTTCCACTCGTTTCCTTTTGGTTTCTTTTTGATTGACATCAGGTTCGAGTTGTGGACTTTCTATTTCAGAAGTTAGAGAAATGCATGTGCTTACTAATTAACAAAAAACAAATTTTAATATCCAAAATCTTAATATTACTTCAAAATATCCAACAATCTTATTACTATAAAATGAAGAGGCAAGAATCAAATGTGGGCCACTGAAAGCAAGCAGGATATTGTGTTATCTAGATTGCCTTTTGTACAAGTTATATAAAGGCAAGTCAGTTCAAATGATCTCACCTAAGGCTTTCCTTAAATGAACTACTAATATTTTAACAAAATTAAAGCTGTCTTTGGGTTTGTACCTGTGGAGAATGGCAGGGGCCAACACTGCACTGAACAAGATGCTTTAATACAATTGAACAATTTTCCCTGCCAACCATAAGCAATATCCTCTCAGTGGACTTCCAAGAGTCAAAGACCAAGTCTTAATGTTTTCAAAAACAAAACGTTAATGTAAATGATAACAGTTATCACTAACCTTGTTTACGATGACACTCAGAAAGTACCTGGTGCTCACTTCGTTTTTTAAGAAGCAAAGAAAAATATTTCCTCAAAGAAAATTCGGGATTTGACCACCTAATTTCCTCCAGCAAAACATTTCTTACTTCTTCAGTCAAATCTTTCCTTCTCTCCACAAACTGCAATAAAGAAAAAAAAGCTTCAATAATGGACCCACATTGTCTATTTTTTTTAAAGACGTTTCGATTTTTTTTAAAGTAATCTCTACACCCATCGTGGGACTTGAACTCATAACCCTGAGAACAAGAGTCGCCTGCTTCACTGAGCCAGTCAGGTGCCCCCCACATTGTCTATTAATATTAGTCACCAACCATTTTCTGCCGATAACTAGTCAATATTAATGTAGGATTAGCTTCAGTGACTAAATAAAACCTTAACAGCAAAGCTGTATTTGCATAGTTTTTAGGGACTTAATTCATATTTTTCTTGTTCCCTCTTTCAACTAATTGTACTTTACACATTAGATTAGAATGCTGATTTACACAATATCTAAATGTGCTATATAATCTAATATTCTTTTGAAACTGGCTACCCTTAATCCCTTTTTTTTATAGAATTTTTTTTTAATGTTTATTCATTTAAAAAAAAATTTTTTTTTAACGTTTATTTATTTTTGAGACAGAGAGAGACAGAGCATGAACGGGGTAGGGTCAGAGAGAGGGAGACACAGAATCTGAAACAGGTACCAGGCTCTGAGCTGTCAGCACAGAGCCCGATGCGGGGCTCGAACTCACGGACCGCGAAATCATGACCTGAGCTGAAGTTGGCCGCTTAACTGACTGAGCCACCACCCAGGCGCCCCATGATGTTTATTCGTTTTTGGGGGGGGGGGGGCGCAGAGAGAGACGGAGACACAGCATCCGAAGCAGGCTCCAGGCTCCGAGCTGTTAGCACAGAGCCTGACGTGGGGCTCAAACTCACAGACCACAAGATCATTACCTGAGCCAAGGTCCGACACTCAACCAACTGAGCCACCCAGGTGCCCTGGCTACCATTAATTCTTAAAATGTTTCTAAAGCTCCAGGAATATTTAAAAGAGATGTCTACCTCATTTGGGATTTTTTTCTTTAAAACTGGACTCCAGGGAAAAAAGAACTTTAGGCCACAGTAGCAGATATCTGTTTGCTTTCCCTCTGAAGATATGAAGGAAACACCGTACAATAGCCGGGATCTCTGGTACTTACCACAACAGCAGAATTAGTACTTTTAGAATTTGAATTCAATGTTGAAAATTCACCAAGAGCAAGAACACATCTTGAGAGATCTATTACTCTAGTATCCAGTTCTTTAAGTTTGGTTAAGAGAGGGCAAGTGGGTGGTTTCAAATGCCACAAATGGCATCCTAAAGCAAAACAGAAAACAAAGGTCTTAATTATCTTCATTCATTACATCGAATGCCAAATACGCAAACGTGAAAAGACCTGACAGCTACATAGTTAACACAAAAATACCAAAACTCAAAAAACCAAACTCCTCTCCTCCAACAAATACAATTAACAAAAATATTGAGTCTTCCTTCCCAATTGTTTAAAATAACCAAGTGATAGCAAACTTCGTTTCTTTTGAAATCAACCCTTGCTACTAGGGGTAAGAATTTCAGGGGCAGTTTGCATCCTGGTTTAAGGTTTAAACTCTGAGGGCAGACCTGGCATACCAGTAAATAAATGTGTGATTAACTCCTCCGGTTCTATTTTTTTTAAGTTTATTTTTATTTATTTTGAGAGCGAGAAAGAGAGAGTAAGCATGGGAGGGGCAAAGAGAGAGGGAGACAGAATCCCAAGCAGGCTCTTCACAGTCAGCGCAGAGCCCAATGCGAGGCTCAAACTCACGAGATGTGAGATCATGACCTGGGCCAAAGTCAAGAGCCGGACGGTCAACTGACTTAGCCACCCAGGCGCCCCAACTCTTCAGGCTCTAAAAGAGAGAGGCTGTCTCTGTGCTTGCTTCATCTCCTGATCCACAAACACATATGATACATTTTACAGTAGCACTCTGGTGAAAATGTTGATCAAAATCAGGGAAGAAACGTATAACTAACTTCTACAGTTGAATATACTATTGGAATATGCTGTATAAAACTGAACTGGTGAAAATAACAAGAAGGGCTTCGTCCACCGAATGGCCAATGGCAGAGCTGAGGAAGAAAGAGAAAGAAGAATATCACCAGAAGGGCTGGCTGGGAAGTTCCCTGTACAAATGGGAGGCTGAACAAAACCGAAAAGCTATCAAGGTCGGAAACACAAAAGGAAGAAAGAAAGAAGAGAACATAGAGCATATTTTAGGAGTAGAAGGAGTGCATTAAACCAAACCACAAAGCCAGCTGAGAAGAACACAAATGCTTTTGTGCACGCACGCGAGCGTGCACACTCACACACACAAAACCCTCTAGGTAGGAGCAACGACAAGGAAAAGAAAGAAAGCTTTGTACACTTTTGGTAATTAAAAACTATGTAAGTCAAGTAAGATTGTGGTTGCGGTAGCATTTGAATCCAACCAGAATCAGGTTCTGATCAAGCCAAGACCACCGTGCAGAAGGCTTGTGCAAACAGCTCACCCTTGTGCACGGTGTGTGTGAGGAAAGGGTGAACTGGAGCGTGGAGCTACTTGCTACCTGCTCCAGGGGGGATTTAGATGCAACGAGAGAGGAAAATCTGTTCTGGAAAGGAGGCAAACATCTCCCTTGCACATTCAACAGCCCATCGGACGAGGACAGGGCTGGAGCTCCTCTGAGAAAGTCTTACAGGTGATCTGTTCACACACAGGCTGCATGCGTGAAGACCACTGCCTTCCTTTCGGAACACAGTGCCTCCCTGGAGAACAACATCCACCTGAGGTCCCGCCCACACGCCTGCTCTTCGCTGCATAAGGTGGTGAGGGCTGAGGATGCCTCTGGCTCTCTTGCCCTGACACCCCATATGCAGTACAGGGAGTCCAAGACTGAGGAAGAGACAATGAAACACATACTGCGAATTCTCACTAAAATCTCCTTAAGAATTATCTTTAAACTTTAGCCTCATTTCAAGTCAACTTACACTTTCATATTACTTCTAACACTTAAAAATACTTTCTTTAATATTTATTTATTTGGGGGACAGCGCAAGCAGGGGATGGGCAGAGAGGGACAGAGGATCCGAAGTGGGCTCTGTGCTGACAGGCTGACAGCAGAGAGCCCAAGAAGGGCTCAAACTCACGAACTGGGAGATCGTGACCTGAACCGAAGTCAGACGCTGAACTGACTGAGCCACCCAGGCACCCTACATTTAAAAATGTTTAATTATAATAAACTCACCATCATCTCTTTGTTGTACGTGGACAACTGTCTGGAAACTAGTACTCGCTGCAAGGTACACATCTAATACAGCAGCTTTCTTTGCAATCTGTCGTTTCAGCAAATCCGGCAAACCGCTCATTAGGAAGTCGCGCTTGGCTTGAAACTGCACATCACAATCCTGAGACTTTTCAGATGTATCTTGGCTTTTAAGAAAATGATGCGACAAAGGAAAGCTAAGGTTATAAACACTTAAAAAAATACACAATACTTTTTAATTTCAAAAAATGAATCCGCTATCTGAGATGTTAGCTGGGCACATTCACTTTTGCTTATCATAAAAATGAAAGCGATCAGTATTAAGAAATAAAAGTAAATACATAGGGGGGAAAAAAATGACTTGAAGAACATCCAGCAAAATGTTAACAGAGTCTATCTATGAGTGGTAGGTGAGTTTTTTCCCTTGTGTATTTTGTCTTCTTTTTAAAAGAACATGCATTTGTATCATAATCAGAAAACAAAGTAAGTGCTATATTTCAAAAAGTTAATATAAGAATTTCTAATGTGATGTTTCCAATATAGTAGCAAGACCATTAGGGCCTTTATTACTGATGCCTCAGTTTTACCTCGCTTATCTTCATATTGCTAATCCTAAGAGTCCTGACTTCGGTGGGAGGGAGGCGAGGAGGATGGGATACAGGAGCAGCGGAAGGGGGAGAGGGTGGTACGACAGCTAATCTGCCCTTCCTAGCCCGCCATATATGGAGAACTGTAATATTCTCTACAAACAGAAATTTGAGTTGGTAAGTAAAAAGAGGATGCAAAGACTTCCATTTCTCTTTTCCTTTCCTTTTTGAGAGAAATGAGGGAAAGAAGAGATTTAAAGCCAGTGTGGAGGCATTTATCTCAGAAAAGAGGAGGTGTAGCTTTTTTTACTGTTAGCTGGAGGGAAGGAGGAAGAGACTCGTGAAGTTGTAGCTAAGTAGGTATGAGGCTGGCATACCTGGCTGGCTCGGTAGGTAGAGCATACAACTTTTTTCTTTTTTTAACGTTTATTTATTTATTTTGAGAGAGAGAGAGAGAGCGCACACATGAGCAGGGGAGGGCCAGAGAGGGAAGGAGAGACAGAATCCCAAGAAGGCTCCACATTGTCAGCACAGGGCCCGACGTGGGGCTCAATCTCATGAACCTGTGAATTCATGACCTGAGCCGAAATCAAGAGTTGGGCTAAGCCACCCAGGTGTCCCTAGCATGTGACTCGATCTTGGGGTTGTAAGTTCGAGCCCCATGTTGGGTGTAGAGATTACTTAAAAATAAAACCTTAAAAAAAAAAAAAAAAAGAGTATATGCCAATAGCAGAAGGTAAACTTTAAGCAGAAGTGTACAAAGTGCTAATACAAAATATACACATATTATATATATGTGATAAACTGTGTAATATATACAATTATAAATAGCTTTGAGTATATGCGTATATATAAAAAATATATACATACTTATATATGTATCCTAGCTTTATCTGCTTTATCAGACAGACCCAGGTTGAGAGTCTCCACACTTCAATAAACACAGTCAAGGACATGGGAAATCTTGGTGAAGGGGATAGGAGTTCTTTGTAGTAGTCTGGCAACTTTTCTTAAAGTTATTTCAACATAAATTATTTTTTAAATTCTTTCATAGTATACCAATTTAGGAACATAAGAATAATTCTAAGAAACTTCTAAGAAATTTAAGTTAAGTAGTCCAAAACCAGCAAATTTCTTCCTTCAAACAATTCTACTGGGTAAAGCAAAGGCATATAAGATAATAGCATTATGGGGCGCCTGGGTGGCGCAGTCGGTTAAGCGTCCGACTTCAGCCAGGTCATGATCTCGCGGTCCATGAGTTCGAGCCCTGCGTCAGGCTCTGGGCTGATGGCTCAGAGCCTGGAGCCTGTTTCCGATTCTGTGTCTCCCTCTCTCTCTGCCCCTCCCCCGTTCATGCTCTGTCTCTCTCTGTCCCAAAAATAAATAAACGTTGGAAAAAAAAATTTTTTTTTAAAAAGATAATAGCATTAGGTGAAATGGTGGACTGTGGTATAGGTTAAAAAAAAAAAAAATCAATTGTATTTCCACATACCAGAAATCAACAATTGGAAAATAATGCCGTGTATAATTATATTAAACACATGAAATACTTAAAGATGAATTTAACACATGTATAAAACCTCTACACTGAGAACCACCGAACACTGGTGAAAGATATTAAAAATAGAAATATAATGTTCTTGGATCAGAAAACTTAATATTGTTAAGATATCAATTCTCTCACTATTTAACAGAATCATCAGCAAAATTGTAGGAGACTTCTGCATGAATGTTGCTGGCATCTTTATTCTTAAGACTGGAAACAACCCAAATGTCCATCAACAGGTAACCAGGTAGACAAAAAGTGGTTTATCCATATAATACTATTCAGCAAAAATAATGAACTACTGATATATGGTTGACCTTGAACAACATAGAGGTTAGGGTTGCTGACCCTCTGCACAGTCGAAAGTACATGCATAATTTTTGACTCCCCAAAAATGTACCTACTAATAGCCTACTACTGACTGGAAGCCTAAAGGATTAACATTAACTGTTGATTAACACATAGTTCGTTATGTTGTGTATACAGTATATATATTATATACTATATTCTTAAAGTAAGCTAGAGGCAAAAATATTGGAAAATCATATGGAAGAGAAAATACATTTTCAAGGTACCGTAATGTAAAAACCCATGTAAGTGGACTTGTGCAATTCAAAGAGTCAACGGTATTTGGTAACATGAACAAATCTCAAAATCATCAAGCTGACTGAAAGAGGCCAGATGAAAGAGTGTATTATCATACGATTTCATTAATACAGAATTCTAGAAAATGCAAATTAACATACAGAAAAGAGACAGGTGCTTGCCTGAGCTGGGACTAGGAGGAGGACTGCAGAAAGGCATGAGGATGCTTGTGGAGGAAAAGACTTTCTGGATAGTGGAAATAAAGCATTATCTTTACTGCAAAGCTCACCAAGTTATACACTTTAAATACAGGTGACTATGTAATTTATACTTCAATAAGGTTCAAATTTTTAATTGATTAAAATAATAAAAAATAAATAATAAAAAATAATACTATACCACTAGAAACCCATGAGAATGGCTAAAATTAAAGTCTGGGGGCACCCGGTGGCTCAGTTGGTTAAGTGTCTCTTTTGTTGGTGTTGTTGTTTTTGATGTTTATTCATTTTTGAGAGAGGCACAAAGCACAAGCAGGAGAGGGGCAGAGAGAGAGGGAATCTGAAGGAGGCTCCAGGCTCTAAGCTGTCAACACAGATCCCGTCGTGGAGCTCGAACTCACGAACCGTGAGATTATGACCTGAGCCGAAGTCGGACACCTAACCAACTGAGCCACCCAGGTGCCCCTAAGCATCTAACTCTTGATTTCAGCTCAGTTCATGATCTCACAGTTCATGAGATCGAGTCCTGCATTGGGCTCTGCACTGACAGCACAAAGCTTGTTTGGGATGCTCTCTCTCTCTCCCTCTCTCTGTGCCCTTTCCCTGCTTGCATGTGCATACTCTCTCTCAAAATAAATAACCAATAAAAGAAAAGTCTGATAATGCCAAGCGTTAGCAACCAGAGCTCTCATATACTGCTGGTGGGAGTATAAATGGAACAACCACTTGGGAAAGTTCGGCAGATTCTTACAATGTTAAACGTACACCTACCCAATGACAGAGCAATTCCACTTCTAGGTATTTACTCAAGAAAAATGAGAACACTGTCTACACATGGAATGGAATGGAATGTTCACAGCAGCCTTATTAATAATAGCCAAATACTGGAAACAACCCAATTGGCCATCGATAAAAGAATGGATACACAAACTGTGGTATATTCATATAAGGAATACTACTCAGTAATAAAAAACAAAAGACTACTGATATATTACCTTGGCTAAGAGAAGACAGAGACAAAAGTGAGCGTCCTGTATGATTTCATTTCTACGAAATTCTAGAAAAGGCAAACCAATCTATGTCAACAGAAAACAGATCAGAAATTGTGTGGGATTGAGTTGGGGACATGGATTAATTGCAAAGAGGCAAAAGGGAACTTTCTGGAATGTGGTGAAAATGTTCTCTATTGTGATGATTACACAGATGTGTACGTTTGTTAAACCTCAAACTGTTTACTTCAATTGTATGCATATGATTGCGAGTACATTATACCTGAATAAAGTTGATCTAAAAAAAAAATTTTTTTTTTTTATTAAAAAAAAATTTTTTTTTTAACGTTTATTTATTTTTGGGACAGAGAGAGACAGAGCATGAACGGGGGAGGGGCAGAAAGAGGGGGAGACACAGAATCGGAAACAGGGTCCAGGCTCTGAGCCATCAGCCCAG